CGCTTTTGTTCAGGCTCAATTAAAACGGCGTTGGCAGAATATGAGCTTTTGTTTGGGATGTTTACCGCTGAAAGAGGCATTGATCATCACGCCATTCAACAAACCGCAACTTTGTGGAGCACGCCTGGAATACCCTTAGATAGACGTGTGATTATTGATGTCGAGGAGAAAAGGGGTTCTATTTCACTGTAAGTATCACAGACAGATGCGGGCCGGTGTTAAACGACCTTTGTAAGCGGTGCCCAAGCTTTTTCTATAGCTGAGTGTTAACCTGTCTAACCCAGTACCTTCTAGTTGAAAAGCACAAGCGCTAACCACTGCGCGCCACTGTGCTCTCAATGCTGCCCCTTTATGTGCCCTGCAACATTGAAATTTCCAATCTCTGGGACCATTAAAGGTATATCTAATCTTATCCTATGAATGTGTATTACAGTGTACGCCCAGTGTGCTCAGAGACCGGCTCCAAAAAGGTCCATGAGCCTGTGTGCTGACATGCTACAATCTCACTCCATGGGGGTGGGGGTGTACCCGGAAACAGAATTACCCAAAGTTTATGTATGGTGTCTTCTTTACCCCTCCTACCCTAACACACTCTTTACTTTTGCATGGTGCAGGGTTGTTTTAACTAAGTGGACATTAAAGCCACTTAGTTAGAATGACCCTTCGAGACAGAGGCTGGACACACGTGGAGCTGGACCGGTCTGAAAGCTGTGGTGAGAGGACCGCGCTCAGACGGAGAGATGATTAATACATTAGTGCTGTAACCTCGGCGTGGAGGAGGAGGTGACAGGAACAGAGCAATCTGTGGACGAGGCCCACGCTGCAGCTGGAGGCCTCCGGGATCAGGGTTTGGAGTGGAAAATGACTGTTATTCAGATCAGGGGTCGGGAACCTTTTTAGCTAAGAGACGAAAAAGTCTCCTTCTTGACAATGTATTTCTGTGGGAGTCAAACACGTGGTTATTTACTTTGAATATGTGAGATTTTTTTCTTTTAAAACAAGACAAACATATTTAGGGTGTAATATTAGTCTCAGAATGTAATACAAATGATTAATAACATTTGTATTCTGAATAAAACCAACACATACAATATTTTCTCTCTCTCTCTCTCTCTCTCTCTCAGATTCAGATTCAGATTCATTTATTTGCCATTTGCAGTAAAACCACATTGGAAAAACTGTGCAAGACTACCCCGGTGTGCACCAGACAGAGGAGACGACACACACCAGAGCTCTTGCCACGGCGCCATCTTTACGGCGCCATGCGACAAACAGTAGAATAAACAGCAGAGAGCGATAACATACAGTTTCACAGACAGTTGGATAGACACATTGTGCCTTGTATGAAGCACGGATTTTTTCTCGGGATGAAGCACCTCCTACAGCCGGCCCAATGTGGCTGTCAGAGGGGGGGGGGGTCAGGGAGGGGGGTGAGTCGGAAACACAGTGAGGAGTGGAGGGGAGGGAGGGAGCAAGATGGATAGAGAGGGAGGCGGGGGAGACGGGATCCGAGCTGGAGACTGAAGTGTGAGATTGTTGTAGATGGGGACCTTGTTATTATGGCCTTGGCCCGAGGAATGTGAGATAAGAGTGGAGAGAAGACACAGGAGGAGAAAACACATCGCCTTAGGGGGACTATATTCAATGCAATGTCAGGCAGATATTCTATTAAATCCAATTAAACCGAATTGCGGCGCCCTCAGACCCCGTACACAGGGGCAGATCCAAGCCGGGTCAGAGAGTTCAAGCCTGACACACAATGTCATTCAATCTCAACTCCAGAGTCTTATGTCCATCGAGTGAACGAGCTGCGAGGTCTTTAACCAACTGTTCCACCAAAACCACCCTCCTTTGTCCAGACACGGCACTCTCAACCACGACGCGGCTAAGCTCCTTGTACATCCCATCAATTTTGTCGGCCAGCAGGTCGTGAATCTTGCGAACTGCCATGCCTCCGAATTTGTGGTAGAAGAGAACAGCTCCAAACCCAAACAGGAGGATTCCCACCACCAAAATGCCAAAGATATATACGTCTTCCGAATCTTCAATGGACAGGGTCGACAGACAGAGGGGCTGCCACTTGTTCCAGCTGTCAAGAGTATACCCCGCCGGTGAAGTCCCGTCCGGGCACACGGGCTCTCCAGACCCACGCTTACGTGTTGAAAAGATAGAATCAATTGCGTTGAGGGACCAATTAATCATTTCCATTCTTGTTAAAGTTGTCTGTGGCAAAACTCCAGGAGTTTTCGTTCTCTCTCTCTCTTCTCTCTCTCTCTCTCTCTCTCTCTCTCTCTCTCTCTCTCTCTCTCTCTCTCTCTCTCTCTCTCTCTCTCTCTCTCTCTCTCTCTCTCTCTCTCTCTCTCTCTCTCTCTCTCTCTCTCTCTCTCTCTCTCTCTCTCTCTCTGTAGATGTGTTTTTTCAGACAGAAAAGTGAAAAAGAGAGGACCACTTTTCTTCGGCCAATCCGCTCCCAGCTCAGATTGTCAGATAGTGACTCACAGGGCTCTTTCTTATGTTTTCAAAAGGAATGGAGACAGATTTTATAACAATATTTTACTTTTACAAGACTCCATCTATTGGGATCAACAACATGTGTTATGTCAATACAATTGGAGATACTTACCCAAGCTTTAGGACCAAAATCAGCAGAATTATTGGTATTTCTTTGTGAATTTGACCATATGTAAAGTTTTCAGATTTGATGCCAACCCCTCGTGGCTTTGGGGACTCGCTCGCTGCAGACGTTACTGATGTGTGTGGGAGAGAAACTACACAAACTACAATCAAG